CGTTCCGTAAGATCGGTGGTCGACCCCTACCATTGTATGTTTCCGATCGAAACCGACAGGGCAACGGGCTCGTGGCTGAGCGGGTAGCGGCGTGGACTTCTAACTAACAGGTCGACAGTTCCAGCCTCGGGTGTTCCACGATTCTGGGTTGGGTATGACTGGCTGAGGGCGGCTAAAAAACCGGAAATGGCCATTCCAGTCTCCCTCGTCTTTGTCGGTAATAACACACTGCCAGTACACTTACTGTACATTTACTCTACATTAAACTTTTATGAGCCCTTTATGTCTTCTACTTAATACCATATATAAATGTATGATTTCACTCACACGGAACATATACAGCTTGTAATTTAGAAACCCTGAATGCAAGTTTAATGGTAGGTCGAATTTCAAAATCACTTGGGAATTAAAATGTTTTTCAAAACCGAAAGATATTCTATCTACGTATAAAATTTGAAGACATACCAAGTTACCAAATATGTAGAAGAAACAATACTTTTCTAAGTGTTTTCTCTAAAATAGATTTGAAATGTACGAAATAAAGATGTTACCGTAAAAATAGAAGACAACTAATGCGACACGTCAGATATTTGGTTGCTCATTCCGGTGTAATCGCGAGTCATAAATCGTGCCACGGATGACACTGTCTGATAACCATAGGTAACAGACGATAAGAGGTGAGATTAAGGCCCTGGCGGTTTGAACGGGTCGATTTTGTAATGAGCAGGCAGCAAAGTGTATGAGAATCATGGAATTATGTCTAACTACGATACCCACTGGGAGGGAATGAGAAGCAACAGCATATAAAGAAAGTCTTAAAAGTGGGCTATTCTTTCACAGGAACACGTAAAAATGACGAAGGAACATGAGGCAGAACGCAAAAATTCACAATGATTGGAGGTAGAAGAGCGTGGTAGGGGTGTATCGCATTTGATGTGCATGTCTGCTGACCTTGCTAAATATATGCTCAGTTTGAAGGGCTTACAAGTGATCAGGCATGGTACCACCAAGATTTGGGCAAGATTGAACTTCCTCGGCAATAATGTCGACGGACAGAGTAATGGAGGATGGTTACGACCAAAAAGCACAGAGCATATTTGCAGCTGTCGAGCAGAAGACCATGACATGATGTTTGTCCTCAGATATGGCTCAAACCCTTTGTCCTGGAAAATGGCAAAATTTAACTTTCTCGTTTTCTCCTTACTGATGTTATGGCTTTAGGTCGCGACAAACATCCCCGGTGTCGAAGTATCAGACGTTACATTTGAAAACATATAAACCCGAGGGCAGAACTTTCGAAGTTATATCCAGCGTGCTTGGCTCTGATCACCACAATCTCAGTAACGTTGTACAGATCCTTAAAGTACAGTTCAACCTAGTCTACGATGTTTTGCTGCAAAAAATTCTACATAAGAACAAGGTTTGGCTATAGTTTTTTGATCCATAACTAAGAAAATAGGGCAGTGAACAAAACGCGGATCGTTTTTCCAAAAGTGGGAACGATTTGGCTTTTAAAAGGGGCAATAGCTTCGGGCAGGCTTGATCTCTTTATTTCAACCACACCAAATGACTACACATTTGTACTTGCCTCGGCTGACACCAATGCGGATTCGGTCGGTTCCACAGCGTGGAGGGGGCATCAGGAACGCATTTGCCCTGTGCCCTGTTGTTGTTCGTACTTTGCCGAACGATAACCTTGCCAAACCCAGTGATCTGTACTTCGAGAGAATATCGAAGCGCATTACGTAATACACAGTTGCGACTTCTGCCGACCGCTTTCCTCGCACCGCCCACCTTGTCTCGAGACTCGAAAAACTCAAGGCCACCCACCATCACGAATGCGCCCTCTGCAAAGCCACTTCCTCCTTTTCCACATGCGTTGACAACAGCTGGACAGATGTGTGTTCACACCGACGTCATCGTCGAGCACTGTGTAATGCAAAGCACACTTAGGGGGGCGTGCCCGCGCGTAATGCAATAAGCAGCCCTAATCTAGCGCAACGCATATATAGAAACGGCACACACCACAGACTGGCTTATGGACCTGACCTAACACTGACTTTCCGATTCCTGAATCGCAAGCACACACTGCTGTCTGAGGAGTTGGTCTGGGCCTCCATGCAGAATAAATTCCCCATCCTGATATCCTTTTCAGCCAACCGCTGGACTTGGCCGAACGATGGCGGTGGTGGTGGTAGCGGCGGCAGATGTGTCGCGGGGTGAATATCTGGTCCATTCATCCACGTCCAGTTCGGTATATGGTCTAATCCTCTAGTCATCCACTCTAAAACTGTCTGAGAACGACGATGGCAAGGACCCTTACAACAATGTCAATGAGACGTGCAGTGGATGTGATATCTCATGAAATGTTGGCCGAAAATCTGAAATGCGCATCCAACTTTAAGAGATTACTTAATTAGGGTTGTCGAGTGAATTATCACATCGCATAATAGCAGCATACTCCGATCACATCACGTTGCCGACTTTCGAATGAGCTTCCTATCGACTGCCCGCGTAAACTGCATTTCGTAAGAAATGACTACTCAAGATCTATGAATTTTTCGCAATCATCTTCGATGCGATCGTGTTTTGATGTCAAACTTGGGACATGATTCTGATCCTCTCGTCTAAGAAAAATTGACCGCCGACAGCCGCATCGCCCTCCAACCAGTTTAGTGGCATTTAGCCACAGCAAACCTCGCCAGTCCTGAAAACAAAACTTCTGAAGAGGTGTTCAGCATCCTCACTTCTGATTGCTTTTATCCCAGTAAGTGTTGTGTAAAATCCAAAAGCATAGTCAACGTTGGTCAATGATGTCTCGCTGTGAAAAACCGCTGGAAAATAACAAGGTTCCGTAACAGTATTTTGATTCGTAGCAAGGAAAACGGGGCAGTTATCGGAACGCGCCTGGTTTGTCGAAGATGGGGATAGGGTAGCTTTTTAAAGATATGACTCCGCATGACACTACGCTCCTTATTCCAAACTCACTAAATGCCTACATCTACTTGCATTGACCGGCACCAATGTGAATTTATCCGATTCCACTGTCGCAAGGCATCGGGAACATGTGTTTCCTCTGTCCTGCTGTTTTTGATGTCTTGCAAACGCTCTTACCAGCCACGATGATCAGTAAAGTGGAAGGATGTCGAAACGTATTACGTCATACGCAGCCGTAACTATTGCCGATTGCAGTCATTGTACTGCCCATCGTCCCTGTCTCAGGACTCCAAAAAACTCAAGGCCACCCGCCTTCATCACGAATGCGCCTGCTGCAAAGCCACCTCCCCCTATTCAACGCGCGCTCACATGCATGCACCCAGCCAACTTCGGCTCGGACACACGTGAGTCCAAACAGACGCGGTTGTCATGCCTTGTTTAATGCACAGCCCACAAACAACAGAATCGACCATCGCGTGATACAACATGCTGTCCTGACCTGACGCTACGCGCACATAAAAACAGCACACACCGACTTCCCGATTCTTGAATTTGTTAATGCACGTTGCTGCCTGGGGGGATGATCTATGCTTCCGAACAGAATAAATCCCTCACACAGATATATTTTTCCGTTAACCACCAAAATTCCCCTGTTGGAAATGGTTATTACTGCTGTTGTTATTGTTGGGGCAGGCCAAGAAGTCTGCATGCGACAAAACCAACAGCCGGATTGCGGCGTACTGGTGAACATAATCATCAGAGTTCACTTCTCCGCGTTTCTCTCACTCAGGTGAGTGATCAATTTCCATCCAAAGATTAAGAGTAACAAGAACTGATAATATTACCTACGCCTTTGCGATAATGCACACTAAAATAAGTGCCAGATGCAAGTCAACGTGAGTCGGCCCGGCTTACATTGATAGAGTAGTTGGAACAGGCTCTCAGAGAGAGAGAGGATTGAGAAAGCCCATAGTTATCATAAGTAAGCAGAGCTGCGACCGCCAGTTGAAACCAAGAGCCGTGTTGCATGCTGCTGTGATTGTTAACGATTGTCAAAAATTTCGATCATCTGATACCACTTACCCATAACGCTCTGCCCAATCAAAATCGCTCGAAGACAAATTACTGACTAAGCCATTTAACTAATCATGTTGAACTCCTGCACAGAGACTGCGGACCTTCTTACACATGGAACATCACCAAGAGCACAAAGACTTTCAATGATCGTTCGAATCGGCCCAAGTTCTCCGAAAGACAAGCCAAAAAGTGTCAAAAAGCACTTTTGAACTCCTGTAGATGTGTGAGGCGATTGGACATCAAGGTAGTAAGAAGATAGAGGACATCACAAACCGGTGACTTCAAACGTGGCATGTGGTAAGTTGCACAAGGCGCGCGCACGTGTCCTGATTATGGCAGTAGCGTTTACATACTCGATTAAATTCCTAAAACACCACTCACTGGCTAGCAAATTCAGAATAGTCTATACAGACTAAATTAGTGCTCCTTTGGTCGTGCATTGTGTCGTAGAAAGCAGAAAGAAACTCACGAAACCAGTTTCGGAAACCAACTGCACAGGCTTGGCCTCGCCCTGAGAACCACCCTTTCTCAGCTGAAGTCCAAAAAGGCGAGGCGGTTGGGCGGCACTTTGCCGATCGAGAAAACACAGTCAGTAGAATAATCGCTAATTCTGCACCGATTTCTGTTTGCTGAGGCGCGTAAACGGTCGGATAATGAAGCAAATGGTTGACAGGAAATAATAAGCGATTCAGTATCTGGACAAGAGACGGTCCAACAATTTCTTTCCTTACATCAAATAATATTTCTACGACCTTTATGTCTTATGGTAGTCTGCCTCGTTCTTTGATTTAAGCTGTTACACCGGTTACGACTTCGAAACGAGAAAAAGACGAATTAGAACCCAATAGCTACACAATGCTCACGGGCGTGGTTAACAACGACGAACGTGGAAAGTTCTAAGTCGCCCCCGCAACATGTTGACCTACTGCAAGTCAGACACGCCCAATGAACTGTTTAAAAAAGAAATAGATCGCAACTTTAAAACTTTAATCACGGTCTGGGATACGAAGGACTTCTTCTTCAAAAAGAAACGTCGGGAGTTTTTGTTCAGTTTTCAAACCACTATGTCTTCGCTGAACCTTCAGGAAATAGGTCTCTTTGTTCTCAATGGGAGAGACTCGATCATCACGAGAGATGTTAAGTGGAGGGTAGTCTGCGAGTGCCCGCCACCAGCGCTTCCGCTCACCAACATTGAAGTACATTACGTCCACCGACTCTGCGTGCAAGGTTGAATCACTATTCATCCGATTATCAGCCAGCATGTACTCATACGCCATTCTGCAAATATTAGAAGACATAGTGCAGGACAGAAAGTCAGTGCTGGCCAGCATTCGAACATCGGTATAAATTCCGAGTGTGGCACGAACTGAATGATTGAAGGCCGATGTGGCACGTTTTTCATCACCGATGAACTCGTAGTCTGGATATGACCGTCTGGCCTCCTCAAAGACGGATGGATCATCCGAGGCCAGAAACACCCTCTTCCATTTAGACCAGGGAGGCGACACATTACTTCCTGTCTTCAACTGATACTCCATCAGTTTTCGTTGGAAAAAGCGCTCCACCGAAGGCATGTACTCAGACAGAGTGTGGAATTCAGCTTCCTTCATTTGAATTTTATCCGTACGACGCACGTGAATACCGGCAACAGGGCAGGTGAAGTATCCGGACGGCATTTGACTCCGTATGTCCCTAATTTCGGCCTCCAGACGCCACTTGAACACCTCGTCTTTGAGACGGAGTATGAAGGCCAGAAGCTGGCCTCGGAACCATGCAAAGGGGTCCCCGTGGAGACCCTCAAGTGCAGAAGCCCACTCCGGAGGCAAAGTGGGCGGATTGAAACGAGACTTAACATGTCTGGACAT